TCCGTAGGTTTAAATGAAGCACGGGATAAGATATGAAACGATCATGTGAAGGTCATATCATTAGTCGATGGGTGTCAAGTTTTGAAACTCTGAAGTGAACCGTTAGGTTATCATGATGAAACCTTTTCTGTTCCTAACAAACTAGACTCTTCCTACTATCTACAGTGCTACAAGGTACAAACTATTCCTGCTATCTATATTTGCACCAAGTGCAGACTATTCCTGCCAACTATACTATACCAGTATATACCAGAATATACCAGTATTTTCATGGGTCATCACTCTGATAGCACTGCACAATTTATTGGTGAGTGGTGACATCGTTCTGCATGAATTATACACAGAAACTGTTTTCTAAACATGATTTAGAACCACCTCATGAATAAAGGTGTCATTCTATTTTGCAGTTTACAGTGATAAGAGTATGAGTTCCAATGTTTGTACCTGTGTAGCGAGTAGTACATTCAGTCTGTTGGACTAATGGTCTGATTGCATACCATCTGCAGCACTTCTCTGTTTTTGTAAATCAAGACTATATCATTGTCAACAGTTTGTGTAAGATGCCAATAACACAATTGTTCTGATATATTTGGCACAGGCTTTATCAATACCCATATATATCATAAGGACACAAATGCGTGGCTTTATTCTGTTGCTACTTGTCTCAGTTTCTAGTAAAAAGAATGCAGAACGTGTTAATGGTCTCTGTGTAATAATAACTTCAGCTCATGGACATGAAGTTAATGGTCTCTGTGTAATAATAACTTCAGCTCATGGACATGAAGTTAATGGTCTCTGTGTAATGATAACTTCAGCTCATGGACATGAAGTTAATGGTCTCTGTGTAATAATAACTTCAGCTCATGGACATAACTTCAGCTCATGGACATGAAGTTAATGGTCTCTGTGTAATGATAACTTCAGCTCATGAACATGAAGTTAATGGTCTCTGTGTAATGATAACTTCAGCTCATGGACATGAAGTTAATGGTCTCTGTGTAATAATAACTTCAGCTCATGGACATGAAGTTAATGGTCTCTGTGTAATAATAACTTCAGCTCATGGACATGAAGTTAATGGTCTCTGTGTAATAATAACTTCAGCTCATGAACATGAAGTTAATGGTCTCTGTGTAATGATAACTTCAGCTCATGAACATGAAGTTAATGGTCTCTGTGTAATAATAACTTCAGCTCATGGACATGAAGTTAATGGTCTCTGTGTAATGATAACTTCAGCTCATGGACACAGTTAAGTCTTAATAATGATCTCTCATGACATGTAATGGTCTCTGTGTAATAACTTCAGCTCATGGACATGAAGTTAATGGTCTCTGTGTAATAATAACTTCAGCTCATGGACATGAAGTTAATGGTCTAATAACTTCAGCTCATGGACATGAAGTTAATGGTCTCTGTGTAATAATAACTTCAGCTCATGGACATGAAGTTAATGTAATAATAACTTCAGCTCATGGACATGAAGTTAATGGTCTAATAATAACTTCAGCTCATGGACATGAAGTTAATGGTCTCTGTGTAATAATAACTTCAGCTCATGGACATGAAGTTAATGGTCTCTGTGTAATGATAACTTCAGCTCATGGACATGAAGTTAATGGTCTCTGTGTAATGATAACTTCAGCTCATGAACATGAAGTTAATGGTCTCTGTGTAATAATAACTTCAGCTCATGGACATGAAGTTAATGGTCTCTGTGTAATAATAACTTCAGCTCATGGACATGAAGTTAATGGTCTCTGTGTAATGATAACTTTAATGAAGTTAATGGTCTCTGTGTAATGATAACTTCAGCTCATGAACATGAAGTTAATGGTCTCTGTGTAATGATAACTTCAGCTCATGAACATGAAGTTAATGGTCTCTGTAATGATAACTTCAGCCTCATGAACATGAAGTTAATGGTCTAATAATAATTCAGCTCATGGACATGAAGTTAATGGTCTCTGTGTAATAATAACTTCAGCTCATGGACATGAAGTTAATGGTCTCTGTGTAATAATAACTTCAGCTCATGGACATGAAGTTAATGGTCTCTGTGTAATGATAACTTCAGCTCATGGACATGAAGTTAATGGTCTCTGTGTAATAATAACTTCAGCTCATGGACATGAAGTTAATGGTCTCTGTGTAATGATAACTTCAGCTCATGGACATGAAGTTAATGGTCTCTGTGTAATAATAACTTCAGCTTAATGGAAGTTCTCTGTGTGTAATAATAACTTCAGCTCATGGACATGAAGTTAATGGTCTCTGTGTAATAATAACTTCAGCTCATGGACATGAAGTTAATGGTCTCTGTGTAATAATAATAACTTCAGCTCATGGACATGAAGTTAATGGTCTCTGTGTAATAATAACTTCAGCTCATGGACATGAAGTTAATGGTCTCTGTGTAATGATAACTTCAGCTCATGGACATGAAGTTAATGGTCTCTGTGTAATAATAACTTCAGCTCATGGACATGAAGTTAATGGTCTCTGTGTAATGATAACTTCAGCTCATGGACATGAAGTTAATGGTCTCTGTGTAATAATAACTTCAGCTCATGAACATGAAGTTAATGGTCTCTGTGTAATAATAACTTCAGCTCATGGACATGAAGTTAATGGTCTCTGTGTAATGATAACTTCAGCTCATGAACATGAAGTTAATGGTCTCTGTGTAATAATAACTTCAGCTCATGGACATGAAGTTAATGGTCTCTGTGTAATAATAACTTCAGCTCATGGACATGAAGTTAATGGTCTCTGTGTAATGATAACTTCAGCTCATGGACATGAAGTTAATGGTCTCTGTGTAATAATAACTTCAGCTCATGAACATGAAGTTAATGGTCTCTGTGTAATAATAACTTCAGCTCATGGACATGAAGTTAATGGTCTCTGTGTAATAATAACTTCAGCTCATGGACATGAAGTTAATGGTCTCTGTGTAATGATAACTTCACTTCATGAAGTTAATGGCTCATAATGATAACTTCACATGAACATGAAGTTAATGGTCTCTGTGTAATGGTCTCTGTGTAATATATAACTTCAGCTCATGGACATGAAGTTAATGGTCTCTAATGTAATAATAACTTCAGCTCATGAACATGAAGTTAATGGTCTCTGTGTAATAATAACTTCAGCTCATGAACATGAAGTTAATGGTCTCTTCAGCTCAGCTCATGAACATGAAGTTAATGGTCTCTGTGTAATAATAACTTCAGCTCATGGACATGAAGTTAATGGTCTCTAATGTAATAATAACTTCAGCTCATGGACATGAAGTTAATGGTCTCTGTGTAATAATAACTTCAGCTCATGGACATGAAGTTAATGGTCTCTGTGTAATAATAACTTCAGCTCATGGACATGAAGTTAATGGTGGTCTCTGTGTAATAATAACTTCAGCTCATGGACATGAAGTTAATGGTCTCTGTGTAATAATAACTTCAGCTCATGGACATGAAGTTAATGGTCTCTGTGTAATAATAACTTCAGCTCATGGACATGAAGTTAATGGTCTCTGTGTAATAATAACTTCAGCTCATGGACATGAAGTTAATGGTCTCTGTGTAATAATAACTTCAGCTCATGGACATGAAGTTAATGGTCTCTGTGTAATAATAACTTCAGCTCATGAACATGAAGTTAATGGTCTCTGTGTAATGATAACTTCAGCTCATGGACATGAAGTTAATGGTCTCTGTGTAATAATAACTTCAGCTCATGAACATGAAGTTAATGGTCTCTGTCTAATAATAACTTATATGCTACTGTTTACCTGTTCTTTAAGCTCCTGGTGGGAACGTTATTACATTAGAATATTCACGGGGGATTACCATGGTTACCATGGTTACAATAGTGACATTAATGTCTCAGCAATTTAACGGTAATGTAATCAGGGCATTACCATGGTAACAGTAGTATGACATTCATGTGGCAATAACGTAACAACAATATAACAAGGGTATAACCATGGTAACCATAGTATGACATCTGTATGTCATTAGTAGTAACTGTGCCATGTTCATGTGTCTGAGTAGGGTCTCCCAGTGATGAAATCATCTGGTGAGTATACAACCATACTGACCGAGTGTGTGGCACATTTAGTGGTAGTATGTAACAGTGCCAACCCTGTGTTCAGCACATGATAGTAACTGCCAGTCATATGTCATGTGTAACTGCCAGTCATATGTCATGTGTAACTGCCAGTCATATGTCATGTGTAACTATATGTCATGTGTAACTATATGTCATGTGTAACTACCAGTCATATGTCATGTGTAACTGCCAGTCATATGTCATGTGTAACTACCAGTCATATGTCATGTGTAACTACCAGTCATATGTCATGTGTAACTGCCAGTCATATGTCATGTGTAACTATATGTCATGTGTAACTACCAGTCATATGTCATGTGTAACTGCCAGTCATATGTCATGTGTAACTGCCAGTCATATGTCATGTGTAACTACCAGTCATATGTCATGTGTAACTGCCAGTCATATGTCATGTGTAACTGCCAGTCATATGTCATGTGTAACTACCAGTCATATGTCATGTGTAACTGCCAGTCATATGTGATGTGTAACTACCAGTCATATGTCATGTGTAACTACCAGTCACGTCATGTGTAACTATATGTCATGTGTAACTACCAGTCATGTGTCATGTGTAACAACCAGTCATATGTCATGTGTAACTGACAGTCATATTTCATGTGTAACTGCCAGTCATATGTTATGTAACTACCAGTCATATGTCATGTGTAATTATATGTCATATGTCATGTGTAACTACCAGTCATATGTCATGTGTAACTACCAGTCATATGTCATGTGTAACTGCCAGTCATATGTCATGTGTAACTATATGTCATGTGTAACTACCAGTCATATGTCATGTGTAACTGCCAGTCATATGTCATGTGTAACTACCTTTTCCTTGCACAGTGTTTCACATGTTTCTTCCTTGTTTTCTTCTAAAGGATGCCACTGGAAGTGAGTTGAGAGGGTACGCCAATTTGATGAGCTGTGATGATGACAGCAACAACACAAATCCTGACAGTAGCCGGCACGGGGACGGTAAGTGACAAGAGCTTGTGTCATTCAGCCACCTCCTGTACTTAGTCCATGACAAGGGAGTCCCTTGTAGTCTTGGGGAGGGAGGACATAGTCCATGACAAGGAAGCCCCTTGGAGTCTTGGGGAGGGAGGACATAGTCCATGACAAGGAAACCCCTTGGAGTCTTGGGGAGGGAGGACACAGTCCATGACAAGGAAGCCCCTTGGAGTCTTGGGGAGGGAGGACATAGTCCATGATAAGGAAACCCCTTGGAGTTTTTGGGAGGGAGGACATAGTCCATGACAAGGGAGCCCCTTGGAGTCTTGGGAGGGAGGACATAGTCCATGACAAGGAAGCCCTTTGAGTTTTGGGAGGGAGGACATAGTCCATGACAAGGGAGCCCCTTGGAGTTTTGGGAGGAGGACATAGTCCATGACAAGGAAGCCCCTTGGAGTCTTGGGGAGGGAGGACATAGTCCATGACAAGAAAACCCCTTGGAGTTTTTGGGAGGGAGGACATAGTCCATGACAAGGGAGCCCCTTGGAGTTTTGGGGAGGGAGGACATAGTCCATGACAAGGAAGCCCCTTGGAGTCTTGGGGAGGGAGGACATAGTCCATGACAAGGGAGCCCCTTGGAGTCTTGGGAAGGGAGGACATAGTCCATGACAAGGAAACCCCTTGGAGTTTTGGGGAGGGAGAACATAGTCCATGACAAGGGAGCCTCTTGGAGATTTGGGGAGGGAGGACACAGTCCATGACAAGGGAGCCCCTTGGAGTTTTGGGAGGGAGGACATAGTCCATGACAAGGAAGCCCCTTGGAGTTTTGGGAAGGGAGGACATAGTCCATGACAAGGGATCCCCTTGGAGTCTTGGGGAGGGAGGACATATTCCTTGACAAGGGAGCCCCTTGGAGTTTTGGGGAGGGAGGACGTAGTCCATGACAAGGGATCCCCTTGGAGTCTTGGGGAAGGAGGACGTAGTCCATGACAAGGGAGCCCCTTGGAGTTTTGGGGAGGGAGGACATAGTCCATGACAAGGGATCCCCTTGGAGTCTTGGGGAGGGAGGACGTAGTCCATGACAAGGGAGCCCCTTGGAGTCTTGGGGAGGGAGGACATATTCCATGACAAGGGAGCCCCTTGGAGTCTTGGGGAGGGAGGACATAGTCCATGACAAGGGAGCCCCTTGGAGTCTTGGGGAGGGAGGACATAGTCCATGACAAGGGAGCCCCTTGGAGTCTTGGGGAGGGAGGACATATTCCATGACAAGGGAGCCCCTTGGAGTCTTGGGGAGGGAGGACATATTCCATGACAAGGGATCCCCTTGGAGTCTTGGGTAGGGAGGACATAATCCATGACAAGGGACTTTCTCAGAGTCGTGGGGATATGTTACTATTGTATTTTTGTAAAACATTTTGGTTGCCAAAGATTTGTGTTTGATTTATGTGGGGTTTTTTCAATGAAAATATCAGTGACAAGCTTTTTGATTTTGTGAAGCCACTCTTAGCACTTAACTGACCGGTTGTTCATTGCTATTACAAGACTATTGTTATTGCTGTTAAGAAGGCACTGCCATGGACATTGCTGTGGACACTGTAAGGGCTGCCTTGTAGAAATAGCTGGATAGAGGAAGATTCTGCTGAAAATATGTGTTCTGTGAACTTCTTACCGATGCATCTCTTGCAAACTACGTTTTAATAAAGTTTAGTCTTGAAGATATTTATTTTTTGGCAAGAGGAAGGTGTGGTGCCTTCTAGGACATGGTTAGAAGCAGATGCACTAATAATGTCAGCCAACAGATGATAGATGGCCCCTTTATTGTTGTTATTTTCACTTGTTGCTTCTCTAAGAATTGAACTTAAGTGTAAACCGAGTGGACAAATGATATTCTGTCCTAAATAGATGACAGGTTGGAGAGAACTATTGGCTTGTGTCACTCATCATGTGGTCAGAATTGGACCTCAGGCACCTTCATGGGCATTTTAAGCTGCTTCAAATAGTTGATGATGTTCATGAGAGAAGGGTTACCTCCCTTCAGTTGTTTCTTTTCCCCACATGACCTCCCTCGGAAATACATATGGGCATGACATCAGCTTTGGGATGGTGCATGTCAGCTCCTGCTGCCAAGCTCCTCCATTACCTGCAGTACCTCCCGATGTGGGGCTCATTAAGATGTGACAATCCAGGAAACATTTCCACATGCTGGGGGCACTGGTTTACCTTGTAGGGTTGTTAACCTTTGGTGTGTACACTTTCTCCCCATCTTTACCAAACAGATTATTGAGATTGTCTTTCACACAATTATATGACAACAAATGAGTTTTGTTCAATCTTAGGTATGTACATTTTTACGGTGCTTCTGAACATGTATGTTTGCTCGTTTTCCATGATTGGCTCTAAAACTTGTCACCTTGTTCGTGCAGGGATTAGTGTGGCAGTTTCAACTTAGGAGAGAAAATCTCTATGGTCCAAATGTAAGGAGATTTTTTTTCAGTATGATGTGATTTTACAAATGATCACAGATATTTCATCTTAAAACTGTTACAACTGTTTAATGTCCTCTATTTGTGCTTCATATTATGAAGTATTATGTTGCTAGCTTCTTTATGTTTGTTTACCCTATGTGCTATGTTTCCACTGCAACTTTATAATGTTTTTATTATTGCATAATGGCCACTATTGTCTGATAACTAATACCAATTATATTAAGATTTTCAGAATAATGTGCTCCAGGTTCACTGTTGTGTGTAATTTGTAACAATCCTATATTTCCTGTAGATGGTGGTATGTTTACCATAAATCTGTGAATTTGTCACATTTTTCAATTTTTATGGACACATCCACAATCATCCTCTCAATTCAAGTTGCTGTTTAGTAAATAAAGGAGGGTTGCTATTCACAATGGAGGATATGTTTGTGAAAACTCTCAATTCAACTTGCAGCAGTATATGGATGGTTTAAACAAACACAGTTTGGGATCACTTTTAGGAAACCACATGCAGCAGTATATGGATGGTTCAAATAAACACTGTCAGGGATCACTTTTAGGAAACAGGGATCACTTTTAGGAAACTACATGCAGCAGTATATGGAATCGTCCATCATGCACATGTTAAGTCCAGTGGATCGTCCATCATGCACATGTTAAGTCCAGTGGAATCGTCCATCATGCACATGTTAAGACAGGTGGAGTCAGCCATCATGCACATGTTAAGACACTTGGAATCGTCCATCATGCACATGTTAAGACAGGTGGAGTCAGCCATCATGCACATGTTAAGACAGGTGGAATCGTCCATCATGCACATGTTTAGTCCAGTGGAATCATCCATCATGCACATGTTAAGACCGGTGGAATTGCCTATCATGCACATGTTAAATTCAATGGAATCGTCCATATGGACAATGTGTGTGCTGTGAGACAATCAATCTTTGGGCAATGTGTGTGTTGTGAGACAATCAATCTTTGGGCAATGTGTGTGTTGTGAGACAATCAATCTTTGGGCAATGTGTGTGCTGTGAGACAATCAATCTTTGGGCAATGTGTGTGCTGTGAGACAATCAATCTTTGGGCAATGTGTGTGTTGTGAGACAATCAATCTTTGGGCAATGTGTGTGTTGTGAGACATCAATCTTTGGGCAATGTGTGTGTTGTGAGACAATCAATCTTTGGGCAATGTGTGTGTTGTGAGACAATCAATCTTTGGGCAATGTGTGTGCTGTAAGACAGTATTTGTGTTTCTGCGTGTACCTGTTATGGAAATGTATCTGAGTGAAGGAGCCATGTGACCTATTGCAGGCCTTGAGTGTGGCGACTCTTGTCTCCGGTAGTTACAATACAACACTGCATCAGCTGGTAGGCTGCATGATAACATGATACAAACATGTTGCAGTTATGTGGAAATCAATATATAGGTAGCGTCAAGCTTTCTACACTGCAGATGCTGTCAGCAGCCTCCATGTTTCTTTCATACAATCTAGACATATTTACGTGATCATGGATCAAGTAATTTGGGCTTGGGTTACATGCCATTGTTGCTTCTTTTTCGAAAGATTGACATTCTCACAATTTTTATTTTGGATTTCAAATGTTTGATTTTTATGTGATGTTGTAGTTTGAGTCTTCTGCATTGAGCATTTTAGTATGTGCACTACTTCAATACATAAGTCAACATGCTTCATATTTCAAAGTGGTGTTTAAATACTATTCTGTAATGAAAGTAGCAGTGATCTTTTAAACATGTTAAAGATTGTTTTGGTTTCCGTGGTAACACAACAACAAAATTACATGGAAATTACAATGGTTAAAGAGTATTTGTCGTTTGGATCAAGACGATTTTCATTTGTGATGAGTACTGAACCAGACTCTGCAGAGTGATTGTGGCAACTGCTGTGTGGACGTCCCACTCCTTGACACTGGTATCACCTCTTGGAAACTCCCACAGCTGAAAATAATTGCAGATTTTGAACATTCCCTTTTTTGTAACAATGGTGAAAATGAATGCACAAACAGTAAAATGAAATATCACAGTGTTGTATCATACTGTTATCCAAATATCAGAATTTTGAAACAGAATGACACATCATTTGTACATGGGTGTCATGGTATTCAAGTCGTCTCAGGCTCTACAGTTTACTGTGCAGAGTTGCTTCCCTTCATCGTGCCAGGAACCTGTGATCATGAGATCTGATCATGGTCCATACCTGTGCTTCTTGGTTTCAGCAAAGGGGTATATCGGTGTATGAAATAAGGTACCGACCGCCTAAGACGGTCTAGATTTCTGACGAGCGGTCTAAATTTACAGCTAGCCAGCCCGATGGTCTGGTAAACATTTTGGATGTTCCATACATCTGAGTAAATTCACCATATTTAGTCTGGTTAAATCCATTTTACCAGCCCTGATGTCTGGCTGTATTTTTGGCTTATTTCATATATTGGGTATATATCTTAAGACATGCATCATTGTAGATTTTCCTCACACATAAGGTTCTTGGCACAACATAACTCCCATACTGGTGAAAGC